ACAGGAACAGACAGAAAAGTCAAATAAACGAAACACAACAAAAATATAATGGAACAATCCTATCGCGGAATCGGCTAGCTAATCGAGGCGGCAGGAAGAAGATAAGTGAGAAAAATGGATAGAATGATTGGCTTGCTTGTCAAGCGGTCCGGATATTGCTTAGAAAATCTGTTTGTAAACAAAAAACATTAGGAAACAGGACTACATTATAGGCAGAGCAGCAGGCGTTTCAGCTGAATCTCACATCGACAGATTTGACACAACAACCAATCACTACCCACGACACAGGCCTGCATCAGTCGGCTATGATGCCCACTCGCCACATATGGGGTCATAGGGGCTTACCGAAACTTCGAGACACGGGTATACCGACCACCCTCGTGGAGACGGTAAGCTAGGCGAGCGTCGAGTGAGGCAAATGGATGCAGGCGAAAGGTGCACGACGTCCTCTCAATCTCAGAGCACTAGGATGACGACGTAATAGCTCTAGAATAGGAATCAAATCGTCAGCTGAAATGCCTATGAAGGTGTGTTTCGTCGGGTTAGCCCACAGTAGGACCGCAAAACAAGAAAGCGGTGAACAATTTTTTGAGACAGGAGAGACCTTCTAAGGAATATTCATTACACTCCGGGGATGCTCAGCAGATTCAAAATATTGGATTACCTGACAACTTTTTGAATTGCGATGAGGTGTCGAACGTCAAAAGTTCGGGAGGTAGCGACTCCAGCCATTTTGTTGTCCGTATTATATAGCTGTTGGCTCTTGGTTCCCGCCACCGGTTGCCCATTTTGTGATTGAACACAATGAAGGTGCCTCTTAGCCTTCGAGATGTTCGAAATGTCTAGAATTTAGAAGACTTCAGACACTTTAAGAAGTTTGAAAGCTAAAATAAGCTCAGCTTCAACACGTCCATGGAACAGGCTCTTCAAGTTTCAGTTCCCGAAGTCGAGTCTGGTAAGCCGGTAACGCTCGGGTAATCGATATTTGGAAACGCTGGATAATACAAAATTCTAGTGAAAGATTTCTAAACTTTTTCGATTTTCTGAATGTCTTTAACCAGGGGGGGGGGCTCTATGCGGAGCTACCGACTATAGGGAGAACATACATTTTGCAGAGCAGACGTTTCGACATAAGTGTACCTCAGATAGTTGACGGCCGGTTATCCTTCTCCTATATCTATCCTCGTCGTCTCTCCTCCCTCCACTCCTCTAGCCACTGCAGCACCATGTGAAAGAACCAAGTCTGTGCTCACTAAAGAAGGTCAACGGGTCGGTCGGGCCATTCGCAATGAGGTGTACATCGTTACGTTCGGTTTGTGATGTTAAGGCCTTTGGTACTTGCTAAACGTTCGTTGAACGGATTTATAAAGCAAGGAAGTACAGTGGTACTGCATCAGTCTCGCAGGGTAACTGTCTGGGAATGATTCCTCATGATGCTCACTTTCTTGCTTTCTCTGAAAAAGGACTGAAAAGCTTTCGAACTTCCCACTCTATCAGCACTTGCCAGCAGTTGCCTGTATGAGACCGATACGGCTAGGCAAACCCTCCACGATCACGAAGGGTCAAGCGTTGCCTTATTCATGCTGTTCAGGTGCGAGCGAAGAATTGCAAGGAAGCAGTATCGAACCAGGAGAAATTGATTCAACCACCATTGGAGAATCACCGTCGGAGGCAGCAGATGCTACCACTACAGGTTTGTTGTGAGCTCCTGCGAAGCGACCTCAGAAAGTTTCTATTTCTCCTTGATGCATATTTTCTCTCATGCGCTGTTTAATTCATGTTTTCCCCCACATTGTAGAGCAACGATGGCCGCTATCACGTCGAATACGTACTATTCAGAAGCTCACTGTGCCACAGGCCAGTAGGCCGTGATGTTCGGTCGCCACGTAAGAGGTCATGGGAGCTTATCCTAACTTTAAAACACGAGTACACTGGCCATCGTCGTGGAATCTGCAAGCTAAACGAGTACAGAAGGGTCACTAACGGAAACAGAATGATTCCGGAACACTCCTTAGTTTTATAGGCTTGGATGGGCAAAAAAGAATAGATCCGTTCTACTCATCGCAACTAGTACTAATTTGAAATCGTCACCTTCTCGCAGTATTTTTGAAAATGCTTGATGAATATAAAGGCGGACCACCAGACGTAGGAAGTTAAGGGCCACTCACTGACAATGAGGACGACTCTGTCACAAATTTGATTTATTTATTTATTTACTCTGCGTTCGAATACGCGCTACAGCCAAGCGATGATAGGAATTGACATGACTGCAACAATTTCAGTCTAAGGTTAGACAAAGAAAGTGAAGAGAGACAGAAACAAGCAGAAAAATATAAACAAAACAACAAAATCACGCGTATCCTCGATGGACTTCAGCGAAATTGGGAAAGGTCTAACACATTCAATAGTGAGGTGGTTAATGGAGTACCTCATGCTGATATTCCATGGGTCCTCCAGTTTCGCTAAAGCCTGCCGTGTGATGCGCGCGATAGCGGGCGGAGCAAAACTGGTATAATAAAATCGGAATCGGCTATGTAGCTAATCGAAGACGGAAGTAAGAAGAATGAGTGAGAAAAATGGAGAGAGTAATTGGCTCACTTGTCAAGCGGTCCAAAACGTTGCATAGAAAATCTGTTTGCAGAAAGGTAGTGGGAGAAGTGGGGAATTCGACAAATTTTAGAAATTGCTCATTGGTATTTTAATACTTTTTGGGTGATGCGAGCAATGAGTTGAGGTGGAAACTTGCTTCGTTCCAAGCCGTTGGAGTCGTCGCGGGTCATTGGAAAGGAGAGTGGATTGAAAACAGTCTCACCCTTGATGGCATTCATATGTCAATATACGACCGTCGAATATGTACGTCGAATTTCAGCACGCCGTAGCTACAGTGGAAGAGAGCCACTCGGCGATTGCATTATCAAGAGTTGGCAGTAGGTCTATTTGGCTAAGGCAACGCTCAGAGTCGGCGATCGCACGCATGATTAGGCAATTAGCGCTTAAGAGAAATATTGAGAACATGAGGCCCCTGGCAAAATCCGCACAATTCTGGGCACGTTTCATCTACCAAAGACGTTTCCTTTCCGCCAGCCTCTTATACATTTTTTCCAGTCTCTGAGCCGTCTTGGAACCGAACTAAAAGGTTTTATGCCAAACTTCGCTCACTTCTGCTCATGCTCGACCACAATTTCGTCTAACCTCCCTTCCTTCACCAACCTCTACCGACTTTTTACCTTGGACTCCTCTGTACCGTAGTATGAGGTTTCGTGGAGAGCCTCACCTCTTCCGTGCTTGCTTCACCCACCAATGGCAGTTGACTTCCTTCCCTAGACCAACCTCTCGCTACTTTTCCCGTTCTCTAAGGCTCCAAATTCCGTGACGGATAGACAGGCAGACTTAGCGCTCCGCATAGGGACGTTATTGTATACTAGTAACAAGTAGTTACAGCAGAGGGCCAGTTGCAGCTGTTAGCTGTCAGCAGTCGTAATTAGAATCTGATTCAGAGGGAGAGCAGCAAAACGAGAGCAGCAATTCTACCAATGGAATTGGACCTGGTTTCGGTGAAGATCCACAATCAGGAAGGACAGAAACTACTCAAGGTGGACAATTTCGTTAATGAAATCTCTCATCGCCCTTTTGACAACAAAAAGGAGGTCATCTATGTGTTTGTCGTTGGAATTGTTCAGGAGAGCAAGAGAGTGAAGACAGTAGTACCACGGAAGAGGCAAATTCAGAAGTAACAGAAACTTCCCAAGGTTAGTGACCATCGCAGATATTCTGATTCTGGCACAGAAAGATACACTCCGATTGCCAGTTGAATTTTTAAGACGGAACAGAAGGAAAGGAGGACAGTACCATTACAGAAGAGACAGAAGCTCCTCAAGGTCGCTGGAAAACTCACAAACGGGAACTTCAACACTGACGAAAAAAAGCATGATTGTAATTTATATTGTTCAGAAGAAACAAAGCGGAGTGAAGAGACTACTGCTACTCAGGAGCCAACTTCGGAAGAGACAGAAGCCCCTCAACGTCGGCGGCAATCTCACAACGAGATATTTCATTGCTGGCAAAAATTTCAGTACTATTATATATAATTATTTTCAGAAGAAACAGAACGACATGAAGAGACTACTGCTGCTCAAAAGACAACAACAGAAGCTCCTCAAGGTTGGTAGCAAGTGGACAATCACTTGCATCAGAGTTGTCGAAATGGTCCATTATCATGGTTCAATTGTTCAGAAGAAACAGAACGAAGTGAAGAGACTACTGCTGCTCAGAAGACAACAACAGAAGCTCCTCAAGGTTGGTACAGGAGGACAATCACTAGCGTTAGTATTGCCCAAATGGGTAATTATCATGGTTTCACTGTTCAGAAGAAACAGAACGAAGTGAAGAGACTACTGCTGCTCAGAAGACAACAACAGAAGCTCTCAAGGTTGGTAGCAAGTGGACAATCACTTGCATCAGAGTTGTCGAAATGGGTAATTATCATGGTTCAACTGTTCAGAAGAAACAGAACCAAATGAAGAGACTACTGCTGCTCAAAAGACAACAACAGAAGCTCCTGAAGGTTGGTAACAAGTGACAAGTCTGACTTGGCATCAGAGTTTGTGAATGGTAATTAATATGGTTCATATGTTAGAGAACAGAACGAAGTGAAGAGACTACTGCTGCTCAGAAGACAACAACAGAAGCTGCCTCAAGGTTGGTAGCAAGTGGACAATCACTTGCATCAGAGTTGTCGAAATGGGTAATTATCATGGTTCAACTGTTCAGAAGAAACAGAACCAAATGAAGAGACTACTGCTGCTCAAAAGACAACAACAGAAGCTCCTGAAGGTTGGTAAGTGCACAATAGTTATCTAGATTTGTTGTTGAGGCGGAGTTAATTGATAACTGTTGTTCTGAAAGTGAAGAAACAACTGCCACTCAGGAGCCAACATCAGAAATCACAGAAGCTCCTCAAGGTCAGCGACAATACGGAATCTCTCATCTAGAAACTACGAAGATAATTCATTTTTCTTAAGAAACAGAACAAAGTGAAGAGACTACTGGTGCTCAAAAGACGACAACAGAAGCTCCTCAAGGTTGGTAGTAAGTGCCACTAAGTTGCCTCAGTATTTGCGTTGGAAGCCATCATTCTAAGTTATACAATACATATATTGTTCAGAAGAAACAGAACCAAGTCAACCGACTACTGTGACTCAAGAGCCAACATCGGAGATCACAGAGGCTTTTCAGGGTTTGTGGTAAACTCACAATCAGATACGTCAACACAGACGAGTATGACAATCATTACTATTATATAATTCATATACTCTAGAAGAAACGGAGCGGAGTGTAGAAACTACTACGACCGAAGAGCCATCATCAGAAATGACACAAGCTCCGCTAGGTTGGTGGAAAGGCACAGTTATTTCTGTACGAGAGAAAATGTCCAAAAAACTTTACTGGTAGCACACATCAGCAGAGTTTACGTCGCGACATCATGATGGAAATGCAGCAACGGAGAACCTCAAAAACTTTCTTCAACAGCTGGGACATATTCTTTTCGGTCGCTCTTGCTGCTCTCAAAACATGAATTCACCTACCATTGCCGGCGAGGTCTGGGGAACTCTACAGTATTTGTTTCAGCATGAAGCGTCCGCGTAACCTCTTGATCATGCCTTTGATGGAGAGCTTCCTGAGACGTGTCATTGTTTTTGTAACTACGCTAGGGACCAGTAATTTCAGATGAGAATTTTCACAACCCAAGTGGTACGCATTCTCGGAGGTCGGGCAGCTGCTATGGATTGGAGTTCAGTAGAGCTTATATCGTTCCCATGTTAATGATGCCCGTGAATAAAGTGAAGGTCGACTATTATACATATACAGGGAGATTAAAGAGAGGCTCAGAGAAGGTCACTTCGCCCATGGCTCAAATCAGCAAACTTTTCGTCGCGCAGCGTGCACCCTTATGAAATTTTTTTGGCAAATATTCCTTAGTTGCCCCTCCGTAAGCAGAAGCAGGCCTCCTTCACTGCCCTCACCGTCTTCCAGAATATGACGTCATCTGCCGTCACCGTCGAGCTCAACGAGGCTTACCGTAATCGCTCCGACCTGAAGCTGCTACATAATTTCTTCAAGTAAATTAATTGTTGAATAGCTTCTCAGAGACATTATCTCTGACTATGCAAAAGCGACGTAATTCGTTCATGGTAACCTCGTTGAGCTCGTACCGTGCACAATGCTTCCGTGGGAAAATCTTCTGATGTCGTCGGTGTAGAAGGCTGTTGTGTAGCTTGTTGATAGATTATAACGTGCTCTTCAATATTCAGTTGGGTCATTTGGTTTGGTTTCGCGACGCGTAAATAATTCCGTTTTGAATGTGGAGTGAAGTGTCTCTTTTTTTGGCCACCCCTGTATATGCGAGGACCAGCGTTTCAGATGACGTCGTAGGTACATGGTCTGTCGAGGACCCTCGTTGAGCTCGTACTCATGCACCATGTTTCCGTGAGAAAATCTTCTGATGCCGTCGGTGTGGAAGGCTGCTTTGAAGTTTTCTTTTGGTAGAATAGAATGTGCTCTTTCATTTTCAGTTGGACTCATTCAATTCGGATTCCACAACTTTCGTGACTAATGCGTTTTTGAATGTGGAGGGGATTGACTTTTTTGACCCTCCACTCTGCATAGCTACCCGATAATTTCCGCTGATCATTTCGTCAACCGTCGTTGGAACTTCTTGGAATAGGAGTAGAACTGGGCATCGATGCATGGTATTCAAAGTTGAAAGACCTGGAATCAAAAAGCATGAAGAACCTGAAAAAGGCGGTATGCTCACGCGTACTACTCTACTTCAACTCTCACAACTACCTTGAGATAGAGACTCAGAAGACTGTGTATTTATTCAAGGTAATAAAGTCTATAGGCTGCGTCATGTTCGCGTGGTAGAACCTTTTTACATCGTTCATGTGGATCTTTGTAAGGCTAAAATCTTAGGTTCCATTCCAAACATTCGCATGAAAAGAACTGATCAGAGAAAACGATATACCACAGCGACACTAAAGCGTTTAAGTTCATGATCAGTCAATTTCTCGCGCTACTGCAGCACGTGATAAGCTTCAATGAAACTGAACAACCTGTGAAACTCAACTAACGCACCTTTTGTCTTTACCTTATTGACCGTTTCATAGGCATAGAAGGGTTTTTCATACTCTGTTGCTTCTGCCCCTTATCAGTCCTTATTTGTAGATATTACATAAAAATATTATATGAAGATGATACCTTACCTGTCCAGTTCGCCACTGTTCCATCTTATGCATCGTTTGCCAGTGTGAAAATGTATAACAACGCCGGAGGAAAGCGGATTCGATGAATTCTTCTACCGAGCCTACTTTACTGCACCTAATAGACACTATCACTTTTTCATCCATCACATAGGTACCGGTTTTACCCCGTCTCACACCAACTGGTGCAAGCATTCCACTACAAAGGGGGAGGGCGTGCACAGGTCGGTGACACATTCCAACGCCTAGTATCAGTACTTATCAATTGCTATCACTCTCTATCACCTCTCTTTCCGTTCTATCATCATTACACGTACTAGTCCAAACATTCCTTTGTCAAAGCAGGCTTCAAACGAGTTGAGTGCCATTTACACCCCTATATCTTTTATCACTTTTTATCACTCATCTCAAGATCACTTGTTACCACCCACCATCTGGGTCCACCTCCTATATCATAGCACATGAGCAAAAAAATTTTTTTGTCAGCGTGGAGACAACGAATTTTAACACTTGCATTTCAAAGTCGGTTTTCGGCCTTATCAGTAGCTATTACTTTCCGCCGCCTATCGTTAGCGTCTATATCCACTTTACTTCATACTCTGTGAGTTTGAGAGCTCTGCGACCTAAGCGTACGAAGTTATGGAATTTTAGTGAGACACACTCACGAGTCCAGAATAGATAATAAGGTAAATTACTTCACAAGAGAGGTTTTGAAAAGGAACAGTGAAAAGGTTGCTGGGCACTACTGTAACATACACGGAGAAGGTGGAGGGCAAAGTCGCGTCGCTCAGGCTCACATCACCAAACTTTTCGTCGCAAAGGGTGTCGCCGTTGATCGGGAACGTAATCCTTAGATAGCACCCATATGCAGATGCAAGTCCTCCTTCACTTCTCACATCGTCCTTATAAAATGACGTCATCTGCCACCGTCGTCGACTCAAGGTGACCTACCGAAATCGCTCGAGCCTGAAGCTGTGTTCCCTCAACCGGTCCCTAACGTGTAGTTTCCCAAAGTCGCTCCAAATCTGCATGTATTGCGACTAGCGTTTTCGATTATTTACTAGCTGCCCTCTGTACATGGTTCAGAAAAATTGGACGTAGCACAGTTTGTTGTAATCATTTTACAGAAGAAACAGAACAAAGCGAGGAGACTACTGATACCGAAGAGCCAACAACAGCGATGACAGAGGCGTTCCAAGGTG